GAGAGAGAGAGAGAGACGGCGGATTTTGCGAGAGAGTAACGGCAATAATGAAAACTCAGTCGTGCTAATCGCTAAGAGAATGATGACTCATCATGCATTATGTTCAAATTGCTCTCGGCAAGTGCGCGACAAATGCAAAATGTGCGAAACGCAACATCTCGCGTCGGCAGTTTTATTATCGGTAATTGATCTCGTCGCGAGTAATCACCGACGTTCATTCACCTTCGATCATTTTTTTGAGCATGGAATCGCCCCCGACGCAGCATGACGCAAGAGATGCCCCATGAGGTTTCTTGATGTTTTTTTTTTCCGAAAAGGGCAAAGAATTCGACTCCATATCATTTCAAATGCATCCCAAATGTTATTTTTACAATCGGACGCGCTTTCAAATGTGTGCTAATATTATAAGGTTTTAACAAAATTTATAAGCGCAACAATCAATATATGCGGGGTGTATTATTGCATTTTAAAAATAAAAATAGGTCAAAATAAATCCAAATGGAACAGCTGAATTAATGAAGTCTTATTTAATGTGTTACGAGGCAATTTAATATCGTGGTTAAAATTTGCGAGATAAAAAAAGGAACCGAGAGCCCGATTTTTTCTGTAGATTATTAAAATTCGAAGTTACGAAATTGTGAGGAAGATAATGCCTTCGGATCGATCCGCGTTAAAGAAAGAACGGATATCAAGTCGCTTATAAAAAAAAAATGCTGTTCAACAAACAATGCACGAATATCGATGCCGCATATATCGCGATCGTTAAGAGGATGGAGCAGATAATCGCGAATTGTGTACTACAGAACGCGAAGTGGCTTCTTGCTTCTTTCCTGTTACAATGTTCGAAAGCATCGGCGCCTAGGTAATTAAAGCAATTAAAGGAGCCTTTGTATTCGTACACATAGCGCGCCGCGATTGGCAATGACGTCAGCTGGGAAATAGAAAGCGATTCCTTTATCTCTCGCAACCATATGCCGTATTGAGGCAGATAGCGTTAATTGCTTCGATCCATCTCTAATGCGATGAAAATGTAACGGTGAAATACGATC